TTCTCCTGTTATGTTGCCCTAATTTAGCTGTATATGTAGGTGAAGATCAACGTTTCAAAGCAGGGCGCCTGCCTGCCGCCTTGAACCGACCAAGTGTATGTGGAAAGCCCTAACAGAAGTTCTAATGGTGTTAACTACTGGAATACATCCGAAAATCTGCGACGGCAACTCAGCGCCTCGCCGGACGACGACGTCCGGCGCCTGTCAACCAACATTCCGGCTAGAAGAAGGGGGCTTTTCTGTGGGCCCACGTACCCCGGTTAGATTAGATCTCGAGGGTGAAGCCGTGAAGGTACCCTTCCTCACTTGCTAGCTGTAATGTGTATATACATATATTCACCCACGATATAAGATGTTCCAGATTGGGTTTTCATCGTTTACGTATGGGGCCTTGATTGACTGGAATGAGTTTCAATTTGGATATAAGATAACGAAACAGAGAACTCTACATTATTCTTGAGTTGATCCGTAAATTTCGGCATCAATCAATGTTGTTTAGTAATCTTATTATCAATTATTATGTACCATTTGCTGATTGTGAATATTGATTAGAGCTGTTAAACGGAACGGGGCCTTCCTCACTTGCTAGATGTAATGTTTATATAAATCTTCACCCACAATAAATGGTGTTCGAGAATGTGTTTTCATCCCTTGTATATGTGGCCTGGATTTACATGCATGAGTTTCAATTTGGAGATAACATCAACATCAACATCAACATACCCAGTATATTCCCAAACAGGTTGGGGTCTGGGGGGTCAGTTGTACGCAGACCTTACCCTTGTAAAATACAAGGAGGCTGTTTCCATAGCGACCCAAGGTGCGTTGCGTCGTTTGATATATTTTTTCTAGAAACTTCACTAATAGAAGAAGCACTAGAATTTAATTGAGCCATTTTGATCTAGTCCATTATTTGCACGATGCCAGAAGAATTGTCAACACTGACTCTTCCAACTCCATTTGTAATGGACTCTCAATTTGGAGATAAGATTACGAAAAATTGACACGTAGGTTCGATGAACTCTGCATTATTCTTGAGTCGAAGTGCCAATTTTTGGTGTTTCGTAATTTTAGGAGTGTGTTTTGTGATCTTGTTTGTCGGTTTTTATGTACCTGTTATTGGTTGTGAATATTGATTAGAGTTGTTAAACGGAATGGGACGGGTTGTTCCTCACTTGCTAGCTGTAATGTATATATATTATATACATATTCACCCGCAATAAAAGATTTTCGGGAGTGGCTTTTCATTCTTTGTACATGGGGCCTGAATTCACAGGCTCGAGTTTCAATTTGGGGATAAAATTATCCTTGTATTAGATCTTTTCAGCAACGTATAATTGTTTAATCTTATTGGATATGATTTCATTTTTAGAAATAGTGATGAGAGAAGCGTTGTTTGAGAAATGGATTTTTTGGAGTATGAGTGGATATGGGATGAAAATGAATTAACTAAACTAAATAATGATTGAGATTGATTGGTAATTCAAAATATGTGAGCGGGGTGAGTGTATAGTGAATTTTGTAAGGGAAGAAGTCGGAAAGATCGAAGTGTCTTTTTCTGATTATGTTCTAGGACGTGTGGTCTTATCTTACCTTATGTTAAATAGTTTTTTTATAGTCGCCTTGTGTTTAATAGATTTCCTATAGTCTCTTATTTTTATATGAAGTTTTCAAGTGTGGGTATACTTGAAGTTCCGATTATCTTCTGGTTTTGTATATGCTACAATCAATAATTCTTCTTACAATTTTATTTGGTTAATGCGGATGCTTATCTTTCTGAAAAATTCTTTGCCAGTTTGCTGTTCTCTTTTTACGGCTGAAAAGGAGCTCAAACAACTGGATGGATTCTCGTCCCTGTATTACGTACTGTAATGGTAAGAATCAGTATCGATTATTATGAGCTATATTTTCTTTCCATTCCAAAGTCACAAAGAGCACTAATATGTATCACAAAACATCATGATAATCCAAAGGTAAATTGTGAAGCGCTCAAGAGAAATACTTTGTGTGATTACCATAATATTCTGCATTCGGGCCTTAATACGCGTTGCTTTATTCATTACCTCTTCAGTATACTTTACCTTTTGTAAAAAATCTGAGGTATGTTTGACCGATATTACCAACAATCAAAAAGTGGACACCTTGCAAAATATCTGCAATAAAGCTTTTTAGTGACGTCATTGGTTGTTCTATAAGTAGCCCCGTTACATCTTGACCTAGCCTTCTCCGCCGTTTGCCTTCTCTTTCTCTCTCTCTCTATCTCTCTCTCTCTCTCTCTCATACCCATCAGCTGTCACCAATCGTCTGCCTGCTTAAGGTTCTTCATTTTATAGATGTTTGCTAATTATTCGTCATTTTATATGTTATCTGTAAATTTGATATTACATTCATGGTGAACATGTCATAAACGGATGTTATGTTTTCAACCCTTCTAACAGCATACTAAAAACCCTCGATTTGTACATTTGGTGAAACAGAGTAATTTCGAGGTCTTAATCCAATTTATATGATACTTTAAAAATCAAGACACTGATGTTGTTTGATCTTGTGGTATGCTTGATTGGTTCTGACCTGATCATCACACATCAAGAAATAAAATAAAATAAAAAATCTGATGTGTTTTTGACTTTATATCTCATGATCTTCGATTTCATGGTTACATGAGGCTTGCCAATTTAGGTTACTTTTGTGCAATTGAATATAGATTATTTTGGGTTAATTTTGATTGATTGGTTTGTGAATTGATATGCGTTAAAATGTAATTATTGAAGTCGATGTGATATAAAAGTAGTAAAATAGTGATCGTTAGTGATTTGATTAGATGAATAGTGGATTTTCATTTTTGAGTAAAAAATTTGTATCCAATCGTAGTTCCGTCCAAAAAAGAAAAAAAAAAAATATCCGGCGAGACAAAACCAAAAGAGTTTTATATCCAGTTCTGTCATTGTGTGTCCGCTTTCAGAGTAGCAAAATCTTGGATAATTATGCTATTGTGCATAAATAGTTTGATTGTATTGGATGATTTCGTGTTTTAAACATTATCATCATCCAAGAACAAATTTATGTGGCTTATCTTAATGTATTTTTAGCACAGAGATTGCGTTTGAAGATCGGCATGAACAAGAAAAAAAAAAACCTTCCTCAGATACAAATTTAGGATCTAATAACTCGATTCAGTATTTATGTGAATTTCACAAATTTCAACCCGTTCAATTTAGGAGCAGTCTTCTCATGGAGGGTACAAGCACAAAATGCGGCAGAACCTCAGATTTGCAGCCCAGCCCGTGGGTCTCGGCTGACATCATCAGCCACCTCCCGGACCACATCATCTGCCACATCCTGTCTTTTCTTCCCACCAAACACTCGGTGGTGACCAGCACCCTCTCCAAGAGATGGAGGCCCATCTGGGCCCACGTCCCCACTCTGGATCTCCGCAGTGGGGCCCACCATCCGAATTTCCCTGCAACAGTGGACCGCATTCTGTCGCTCCATGTGGCTCGGGCCTTGGACTCCTTTTCCCTCTACCAAGAGAACTCAGCAGATTTCACCGAGTCCGACCTCGGGAATTGGATCGGGGCTGCCATCGAGCGCAACGTGAAAAATGTTCATCTCGAATTGGACTCCACAGATATGGTCAAATCGCCCCAATGCCTCTTCTCTTGCGGGACGCTCGTCAACCTGCGGCTTGAAGTATGCGTTCTGCCCACTTTCAGCGGGCCCACATCCCTCCCGAGCCTCAAGAAGCTTCACCTACGTTTGGTCGAGTACAAGGACAATAACGCCCTCCCTCAGCTACTCGAGGGGTGTCCAGTTCTCGAGGATTTGACCGTGGATGGAATTGCGGAGGCTTTGGGCCAATTGACTGTACGCTCGTCCACGTTGAGGAGGCTCGAGCTCGGTTCCATGGCTGACCAATTGGATTGTGATGTGGTTGTGGATGCTCCCGGGATGAGGTGCCTCAAGACGAGTGAATGCTTGTACGGCCATATCAAGCTTATCTCGGTGGCCTCTTTGGTTGAGGCTGACATCTGCTTCAGCAATGAGATGTTTGTGGAGTATGGGAACCTCTATGTTATCAACGTGTTGCGGTTTATGAAGAGACTTGGTGATGTGAGGGCACTGAAATTGTCGGGTTCGATTGAGTTGGTACGTATTTTGAACCTTTCGTCTTTATTGTTCTGCGTGTGTTTCTGGTTTTCTTATGTTGGCCAATTTTCAGTAACCAAAACACTATTGTTCAGTTATCAGAAAGTAAAAAATATTTTGAGTACTTGTCCATCATGTAATAGCCCTGGTTAATTTTATCTACTTTATTTATAAAGTATTAGAAATAAAGTTTGGGTAGTGCCCATATAGAAGAAAATGAGAGAATCACGTTTAAGATGGTTTGGGCATGTGCTTAGGAGAGACTTCAAAGGTGAGAAGGGTAGGGGTAGACCTAATAAAACTTGGAAGGAGACACTAAATAATGATTTAAAGTATTTAAATTTGAATGAGGATATGTGTTTTGATGGAGCACGATGGCGACATATGATCCATATAGCCGACCCACTTAGTGGGATTTTAACTGCTTTGATTGATTCATAAAGTTCATGAATAATTTTAATACTCTCTCCATCATGCAAGATGGACACACTTATTTAGATCTTATAATTAAAATGTTTAAGTTCTTATTTTTCCCTTATCATATGTAGTAAATTATGCAAAATAGAATTATACAATTCGTTTCTTATATATCTGCTCTCGAACCTCGACTTATTTGCAGTTTCCCGACATTCAACTTGTTAGTTATTACGTGAAGTTCAGTAATATAGTCAGGCTTGAAGTGGCTGCTGACTGGCGTATCTTCCCATCGATCTTTAGGAGTGCTGAAAATCTCAAAGTCCTCATTCTCCATGGGGTATGTGGACACCATACAAAAGTGTACTCTAAAACGTTTTTATCCGAATTTAATTTTTTCCACCACATAATTTTTTTTTCTTTAGAAAACTTTATGTCAACCGGAACCTCGATTTTGGCATTGTTGGTCTTGACAGGGTTATTGGAATCTCCAAAGGTGGTCTATAACCATGATGGGACGTTGTACCTGCCTCTTATATCCCCTCCAAACTGTAATCATTCGTGAGTTTGGGTGTGCCGAGGATGAGTTTGCAGCCGTTCGGTTTATTCTGGCAAATACTCGAGTCCTTAAGAGGATGGAAATTTATACTGCTTCCATTGGCATTCGTCCCAAGGCGAAATCTCGTGCTCTCAGGAGGATACAGTTATTACCTCGAGAATCGGTAGAATGCGAGATTGAATTATCGTGAGATATTGTGCTTCGTTTTTATTTTGTAAGGAAAGGGGAATATAAAGTTGGCCTTTGCATTATTGCTACTTCTCTTTGGTGTTGTGACTTGTGTAGTTGTGTTGGTGGTGTAATTTGCTTCCTGTGCTGATTTGATGCAACCTTTTTTTTTTTTTTGGATGAAATCTTTTAGTTAATGAAATACATTACTAATGTTCTAGAGGAGTGGATTTTGTTGTAAACATTTCCCCAGTGAACTGTAATACCCGGTTATTATGTGTTTTTTGCTATAATAATATGGTTTGTTCGGCAGTCGTATGATTTTTGAGTCGAGCATTAGCCTTATTTGAGCAATACTTGATTTCTTACACCTGCTTGAGCCCGAGATCGGCTTGAATGTGATCGGTTCAAATTTTGCTCGTGTTTGACTTGAATATTTTAGTCAAATAATGTTAGGTAATTCTATATATATTTGAATTGCTCGTCTAGCATTCAAGCATATGAACTATGGACTCGAGCTCAAGTTCAAGTATTATAACTCAAGCGCTCGTGAGCTACTTGCGGGCCGCTAGGCTTGTTTGCAGCCTATGTAGTCATATATATCATATGTAAGAGTATTAGTGTTTGTCATACTGTTTATTGTGCTGTTATGCAGTCTAATATATAAGTATTTAATAATATATAGTATAAAAGTGTTTAAGTTGTTATGCCTTTTTTTGATCAAGTATAATTGGACTACAGATACTAATCAAGTTCTCTATGCACAAGTTTAATTAGACCTATTTTTGTGGGGCCACATTGGTAAATTTGTCATAATTTGAAAAATAGCAAAATTCCACTATATATAAAACTACTTTTAAGTTTTAAATAAGGAAAATGCTACGATTTCGTCACGGGATTATTCCGTCGGAAATTTTAACCATTGGATCATTTATCCTATATTAGTTACATGACGATCCATTCCAACCGTTAAAATTCTGAAACGAAGTATTTCCGTAACGAATATTTCCCTATAAATAATGATGTGTTCTATTTTTTTTTATCTAGAAACCAAACTCCATGAACGGAGTTATTTGATTTTATTTTTACTATATCTATTATTATATAAAGAGGGGAGCTAAATAATTCAAAAATAGTAAGTAAAAAATAATTGGAAATCCCGCTTAAAACCTAACTAAATATAGTAACCTTCTTTTGAAAATTTTCATTTGCCATGTTAGTGGACTTCCTAATTTTTTTGAAAATTTTCATGTGCCGATGTTAGTAGAGGATTTGATTTTCCCGATTTTTCATCCCAATTTTGTGGATATTTTGTGGATACTCTCTTGTACATGATAGACATTAAAATTTTACCTCTTATCAGATAAGATAATATTCCATAGAGAATTAATAGGACACTCTCTGCATGATAGTTGAGCAAAATAAAGATAAATATTACTTGAAATTATGAGTTCGATTACAATTTTGTTCCTAATAATTAATATACTAATACTAATATTAACTTTTGTAATTAATATTATAATAAGATAATAATACATTATAGATAAATAATTTTCATAGGATTTGAAATCCCACTTAACATTGTGAAAACATATAGTTCATAATAATTTAATATGGTATGTTAGTTAATAATATTTTAAAAGCCCACAATTATTAATCATGTAGATACTTGTGAAAACAAAAAACTTTCATTTCCAAACTGACAATTCATGGATTTAAATTAGTTGATTTATAATTTGAAATATATGGAATATTATCTGATAATAGTTTAAAGTCCTAATGTCTATCATGTAGAGATTTGTGTTCCACAAAACTCTAATTTGCAAATGGATTAATTTCAAAATTGGTCCTATAATTTGGCCACAGTCCAAAAAATCATCCTTATGTTGACCACTTTCAAAATTGGTCCTATAATTTCAGAATTTAATCAAATTTGGTCCTTTTTTAATCAAATTTGGTCATATTTTAATCACATTATAATCCATGTTCCGGATAAAAAGGACCAAATTTGATTAAGTTTTGAAATTATAGAACCAATTTTGAAAGTGGTCAATATATAGGTGGTTTTTTGGACTGTGGCCAAATTATAGCACCAATTTTAAAATTATGCCATTTGCAAACTAACAATGCCAAGATATATATTAACTCTCATCTATAATTTGGTTTATTAAATCTTCAAAACTCACCTAATAATTAATATACTAATTTTTGTAATTAATGAAATAATGCTATATTATATAGATAAATAATTGTTCATAGAATTTGGATTCCCACTTACTTATTATTAAATAAACTCCAACTTGCAAACTAACAATACCACGATATATAATAACTCAGTGTCTACAATTTGGTTTATCAAATTTTTAAAACTCAATAACATACAAATTTATATCACAAAACTCAATAACATACAAATTTATATCAATTAATTTGATAATTAAAATCATAATGATAATAATTATTGGATGATATGGTTATATTAGTAGATAATATTTTATAACCGCATTATGTCTATCATAGTATCATGTAGACATTCGTTAAATTAAAACCATAATTTGCTAACTAACAATACCATGATAAATATTAGTTAATATACTAATTATTGAAATTGAGGAAATATTAGTTTATAAGATAAGATTTAAAGTCCGGTCCATGTGTTAATCATGTAGATATGTATTAATATATAATGAGGCAGTGATATTTACTTAAAATAGCAACTAAAAATCAGCAAAAAAACATTTGATTTCCCGCCTAAAGTGTTTACTATATTGAGTAATATTTTTGACTAAAAAAATTGAAAAATCTCGCCTAAATTAATGTAATTAATGTACAGAATAATTTTGGTCAAATATTTCAGCTATTACCTTTATTAGTTGCATGATTTTAATTTGCAATATAATATATTGACAAAACTTGCAGTTATTACCTTTATTAGTTGCATGGTTTAAATTTGGTATATAATATATTGAAGAAAAATAAAAAGGTTTTTATTGAAAATTAAAATAAAAAGATAATTATTCATAATTTGTGGGTCAATATTAACTTGAACGTAAACGAAATAGTCAGTTATGTTTAATATATTAATCAACTGTGTAATTGTTTTTATTTGAATATTTTTATACAAAAATATATTATTTTAAGTAATGAAACGATATAAATTTTATATTTATACTTATTATTCACATAGATTGTTAAATATATGATAATATTTTACCAAAATAACTATTTTATGGAATCACATTATAATCAAATCGAAATTATGAATAAAAATTTTGAAATGATACTTATTTTGAAACGAATATAATGTGGTTTATTATCAGTTATGTGCACCACACGGGTTGTGTACTAATTTTGAATAGATATTTTTAGTAATTTTGTACAATTTAAACATTATAACATTTTCTATAAATTAGAATAAGTAATTGTATTATATATTGATTCCATATTATTAATTTATAAATATTGCTTAATAAGAACTTTTAATTTATAAATATTAGTGAATATCTCCTACCCGTGCACTGCACGGGACTCATACTAGTTTACTATAAAAGAGCCAAGCAAAAATCTAATCGCCGGCGGAAAATGAACCGGTCATCTGCCCCCACCACCGGTCCACACGTCACACTTTCACTCTAGTGGCAGAAACGTAATTACACAACAAAATGTACCGCGAAACTCTAGGGGTTTTTTCTTCGTCTTCTCTCACAGTAATCTTCATCTCTCTCTCTCTTTCTCTCTCTCTCTCTCTCTCTCTCTCCAATCTTTTTCAGCAGAGAGTTTCATTCGCGTGCATGGCACGAAAAATCCTCCCATTTAGAATAATATTTTCGGTATTTGCTTTGTGGGCAGTGTAAAAATATCTAATTATTCGAAGATTCGAAGATGTTTCATCTTTATCCATCGGGAAATCACGCCTGCGTACGGAACTCTCGCAAAGGTCGGATTTTTTTCTCAGCGTTTCGAGTATATTAAGAAAAAGGGAAGAAAGGAAGTTGAAGTTCGATGTGTTTTAGTTGCAGGAAAACGAAAGAAAAAATGAAGGGTGTAATGAAGTCGCCGCCGCCGGCGCAGGGTTTTCGGTACAACCTCCGGAGTTTGAAGTGAGCTTCGATTCGTCCCTTTTTTTTATTTTTTTTTCCATTTTCTTTAGTGATTTTTAATGGGTCGCTTTATTGATTGTTGTTTTTGCGTTTGGTTCAGGAAAAGGGTTTTTCCGGGAGGCAGTTCGTCGGCGCGGGGGTTGAAACAGTTGAAGCTTTCGGCAGCGGCGCCGTCGGGCAAAGCGATTTCAGCTCCCGCCGAGCAAAATGAGGTCAAAGATTTGATCTTTTATGTTTTTCTCTAGTTCAGATTTGAAAATTGAAAGATAATTATATTGATTTGTTTTCCTTGTTGTTTAAGTGGGTTTAATCTGAAGTCTAATTCATAACGGCATGCTATTTTGTAAGTCTTGCTATGTGTGTCATGATGATTGAGTGATCATGAAAAAAAAAGCTTGATATTGCACAAAGTAATTCCCAAAGATGAACCTGTTTTGCACATTTTGTGACTTGGTTCCATGAGTTTTAGTAATTCGGAAAAAAGGTTGTTTCGATTAGAAAAAAAAGTTATTAACTAGCTTCTCGTGTCTCATCGTTGTCGTCGTATCAACTATTCCTTCCCTTTATTTTTTTTCAAGTGTAATTATCATCTCAAAGTTTTTCCCACCGAAAGCTTCATAATAAAATGTACTATATATGTTTGAAGATTGATGGGCAAGCTGACACCAAAGGCAAAGGCAAGGTATGTATTTCCTACTTCCAACTTGACATATTTAGCTCTTTGTTAATATACGATTTCAGTGTGAATATTATCGTGTTCATGCTGCCATTTTTTTATTCAGACATGTAGTATAATGAACATGTTCCTCTTTTTTTTCCCTGTCCTGCAGGAAATTATGGAAATTTTGGATGTCGATAATCAAAGTGGTGGACCCTTGGACGACGAAAAGGCAAATGGTGTGAATTTTAAGAAATTTGATACTATCGAGGACTGCTCCGACCACCACTATGCCGAATCTAATAGTTCTACAGAAAAAGTGAGTACATCTTAGAAAGGACTTTTTCCTACCCTTTTCGGTTCGGTTTCTAATGAGTAGTTAATATATATTTATAATATACTCTGTTAGGTTGGTTTCGAATAGGTGGGTATGTTGCAGTGGAATTTCTCATAGATGGGGTTCGAATATGTTTTTCTCCCTTTTTCTCTGCTTCAGTTTTGAAAATTGAAAATTAATTATATTGATATGTTTCCCATGTTGTTTAAGTTGGTTTAATCTGAAGTTTAGTTCATGACGGCGTGCTATTCTTAAGTCTTGCTTTGTGTGTGTGATGATGATTGTGTTATCATAAAAAAAAAAAAGTTGTCTTCTTTTATATTTAGGAGAGAAGTAGTTAATTTATCATTATGCAAGCTAGTTCTGTTTTTTAATAACTATACTGTGACCTGATGAAATCGTAAACTAACTCAAAGTCCATTTTATTAATTTACCATTTATTTTTGTGCGATGTGAACACGTATTGCATATTTAGTCGATTTTGTAGGTGTGTTGTTTCTATTAGTATATGCACTGTTTTGGAACCCTCAAATTGTGTTGGGTTGCGTCTTGAGGCCAAATTCACTCTTCACGGAGTAGGCCATGGATTTGGCTTGACTCATCCAAGACCTCAATTTTCCTAGTACTTTTACGAAAATTTTACTCGTCCTGCTTGATATTGCAATAGTAATTCTTTGTGACTCGGCTTCATGAGTTTTAGTAATCGAAAAAAAGTTGTTCGATCAGAAAACAAAAGAAAATATTAACTAGCTTCTCGTATCTCATTATTGCCATGTCATCTATTCGTTCCTTTTTTTTTTTCAAGTATAATTATCATCTCAAAGTTTTTCCCACCTTCATAACCTCCAATGTAGATTGATGAGCAAGCTGACATTAAAGGCAAAGGCAAGGTATGTACTTCCAAATTCTAACTTAACACATTTAGCTCTTTGTTAATATACGCTTTCAGTGTGTATATTATCTTGTTGATGCTGCCATTTTTTATTCAGCCATGTAGGAGAATGAACCTTTTTTTTCCCTGTCCTATAGGAAATTATGGAAATTTCGGATGTCGATAATCAAAATGATGGACCTTCGGATGAGAAAAAGGCGAATATTGTGAATTTTAAGAAATTTGATACTGTCGAGGACTGCTCGGACCACCACTATGCCAGTTCTAATAGTTCTACAAAAACAGTGAGTACATCTTAGAAAGTCTTGTTCTTCTTGCCCTTTTTCTTTCCTTTTCAATGAGTAGTTAATATATATAAAAATTACTCTGTTGGGTTGGTTTCGAACAGTGGAATTTCTCATAGATGGGTTTACAAACCTCAAAGAGGAACTTTTATGCCTTGATGGGTTTTATGTATTTCGATGAATTGTCTGTGTTTCTAATAATTTTGTCCAAGCTCCAATTACTGTCCTCTTTCTGTCAGGTGAATCAGAAATGGGCCAAGAGAATACAGGAAGAGTGGAAGATTCTAGAGGAACACTTACCCGGTGATCTTTAAATTTTGCTTATTCTACCAAATTTCCTTTCTAGAATTGTTTTTTCTCCAATATGCTTTTATACGACGATGCATTTGCTGGTATGAAATGCAAAAGTTTTGCTCTGATAAATCCTCGATTGGTATCTGAATGTGTTGATTTTTTTTGTTCTTTTTTTTTTTTGTCCTTTTCGTTTTAATGTTACTCATTATTGACAGATGCAATATTCGTGAGGGTTTACGAATCTAGAATGGATCTCCTGAGGGCTGTGATTGTAGGAGCCAAGGGCACACCGTACCATGATGGCCTCTTTTTCTTCGATCTTCACTTGCCGGGCAATTATCCCGATGCACCTCCCGTAAGTTTCAAACAAATGATAATAATAATAACTTCACCAAATTTCGAGCTGTACTTACTTAATTATAGCCTTTTGGTGTCTTTTATTGTTTGGCAGAAAGTCTATTACTATTCGGGTGGGCTTCGCTTGAATCCCAACCTATACGAAAGTGGGTATGTATGCTTGAGCCTCCTCAACACTTGGAGTGGAAGAGGGAACGAATTGTGGATGAAAGGAAGCTCGACTCTACTGCAGGTCTTGGTTTCAATCCAAGGGTTGGTTCTAAACACCGAGCCCTACTTCAACGAGCCCGGATATTCAAGCTCAAAGGGCACAAAGCATGGTGACGAGGGCTCTTTGAGGTATAGCGAGACGGCATTCATTTACTCCCTCAAGACAATGGTGTACTCCATGAACAAGCCTCCAATGGTAAAAAAGATCAAATTATCATTATTTTTATTTATTTATTTATTTTTTGTCTCGGCGCCTTGATCATTTTCGGAATATTTTATAGAACTTGTAGTTTAAGTAATGCCATTTTAAGAACTCGAGACATTATCTCTTTTGGGGTTTTCTGCAAAAACACCTATATGCTCCAAATATATCTTTCGACCTTCATATTTAAATGCTAATGTACATAAGCAAAAATACGACGTTTCATAGCAAAAGTACACATTTCTGATTAAAAAACGGTGACGGGTTGATCTGCCCAACGGTTAGGCCGCCTCATATAACTATTTGCACATATTCTTGCATGAGGCGGCTTAACCAATAGGCGGGTCGACCTGTCATACTTTTTGAAAAAAAAAAAAAACGCATACTTATACTATCAAATGTCATACTCTGTTTATGATACTTCTCTTTATTGTGTTCTTAAACGTTTGACATTTTATAATGAAAGTATGCCTTTTTTTTTCAAAAAAAAAAAGTATGTCGGCCTAATGGTTTGGCCCACCTAACACGAGACCTACCGATTTATTTGTATTTTTAACACGCAATCGTACCTAACTCGGATGTGCATTAGCAATTTCTGATATTGTTCTTATTATTAATTTTTTTTGGCAGCATTTTGAGCCGCTTGTAGTCGAGCATTTTGTCGGCCGCGCGCGGGAAATCATGTCATTGTGCGTGGCCTACTCGAATGGGGCCCGTGTGGGCTCACTAGTCGAGGGCGGAGATGGCCACCAAGAAGCCAGCAAAGCCAATGTGGGCTGCTCCGATCATTTCAAGAACAACCTAAGAGGGTTCGTTAAGACTCTGGTTAACGCGCTCACGAGCACCGGAGCCAAGGACTGTGAGGAGTTCCTCTCTTTAGCCACTGGAAACTAAAAATTCGGTTTTTTTGTATCTTTAAATTTTTATTAAGTGAATTTGAATTGCTTTGTTTTGGCAACAAAATTGTGCTTATGTTTTGGTTATGAAGCCTGATTCTTCAGGTGGACAGATGATGATTGCTTTGTTTTGGCAACAAAAACTGTGAATCTGTTGCCTTGTGAAGCAGGTTTTATGTGGATAATTGCTCTATTTTGGCAACAAATTGTCAATATAATGTTGCTTGCTTATGAAAGCCTAATTCTTGATATTTGTGCTGTTTGTCCTGTGATTCAATAACTCTTGTTTTATGATGAATTTTTTTTTTCTAGAATTGAGAAGTATAAAAGGATTGCTTGTTAAAGTATTCACAAGTATAAAAGAGTAAGGGGGAATTAATTAGGGTTTATTTGAAAAAAAAAATATTATGATTAGTTGTTAGTTGAATTTTAAGTTTGTATTAAAAATATATTTAAAATAAAATAATTAAAATTGATTTGAAGTAAAAGTATGGGATGAATAGTT